ACCTGGAATCTGGTAGGAACTATCTTGGCTTTAATTATTTTAAAAAATATATTTAAATTTCTTTTCCTTTCCTGAGGAGAGTGGTGAGGCTCCGCCTCCCTTGCCTCTAGTGACTGCACATCCCTGATTTTGACCTAGATGGCCTCTTTGACCCCTCTTTCAAACCAGTGGGCTTCTCTGTCTAAAATCTGGACTTTACTGTCTTCAAAAGAGTAGCCTTTGTTTTTTAAATGAAGATGGACTGCTGAATCTAGTCCTGATGGGTTTGTTCTCCTATGTTGTGCATGTGTAAAGTATATGACATAGTTGTTTTGCTTCGCCAATGTACAGATCTATACATGGCTAACTGCATTGTACTACATATACCACATTGCTCAGTTTGTGACTGGGTATTTTATCCTTGGGGTGGACAAGCTTGAAAAAAACTGCAGAAAGTCCAGTTGCCTCTTAAAAAACACCTTTGGTCCATGACCTGGACTGAGAATCTCGATAGAACATTTACACAGAGAAAGCTCATATACTGCTTTTGCAAATACTCTTTCATTAAACTTTTTCAAATACTTCAACAATATGAACAATTCTCTCTCTCTCTCACTCTCTCTCCCTCCCCCCCCACTCTCTCTCACACACACGCAAAGACAGCCTCTCAAGTCCAGATCACATTATGTTTTAAGAAAAGATTCATAGTTTTTCTGAAACAAAGAAAACATTTTTGTATTTTAAAAATACAGGAGAAAATAAATAACAATTTTTCTGAATTAAAAAAGAGGCAGAAATCATACCTTTCCAAAGAATGGGTTTGCCATTCTTGCAACAATAGGTCTAGAAATTCAAAAGAGCGCCTAGAAAATATAAAGTTTAAAGTCAATTCTAAATTTATCTGAATTAGTTACAGAAGGTAAAGATTTTAACATATTAAAAAGTCTTTAATTACTAGAAGTCCAGAAATTTGACAAACAATTATACTGAATTTAGGAGGAGGCATGATGCTTTTATCCCTTGTGTTAACCGTGGTTGTATCGTTATACATTTCTTTGAAGTAGATATGGATGATCCATACAATTCAACATGTAATCATTAAAAAATGATATTTGTTATTAGGATCAGCAAAGACGTATCATGTGACATTGTGCTTTAGAACCGCATCACTTAGCAATGGAAATTCTGGTCCCAATTACTGTTGTAACTTGATAACTAACTGTCAGCAAAGTCCTATATCCAAATTCAGAAAAATATCCCTCCTAGATGTAACTATATTTTATGGCAAAAGTCATTCTTAATATTGATTTCCATTTATTAATTTTTGAAATTTATGCCTATTAATTTTCCTTAAAATGCACTTCATGTCAGATTATGGGGGAAGGGGTCGACCATTCTTGCCTAAAAGTGTAACATTTTGAAAGCAAACTGTATATACAAGCAGTATGCAAGGTCATCAGTTTTTTTGCTAGACTTATAATTTTTAGTGTTTTAAGATTTATAGGGCATCCATGTTTTCTCATGCTGACATTGTGAGACTTAACCATAAGTAAGTACTTATCAGATTATAGCTTTGATACTGATATATTTCATATTACACTGCTACAGAGTTTAAAATTGTTATTAAATATATTCATATTTTTCTAATGTAGGTTAATATAATATTCAAACGTTAAAATTCAAAAGTCTCACCTCCTTACTGCAACAGATTTTGAGGTACAGTTGCTGGTTATTAAAGGTATGAGTCTTGGCACATGTGTATGCTGAAAAGAAATATATATATATATATATATANATTTTCAAGCCCTAATAGACTCAGGCTGCACTAGATGCTTGATCAACTTGACCACAGTCCTGAAACTGGGGATCAGACCAAAAAGTCTGTCCCACCCAATCCGGTTCAAACAGATCAATGGGTCCCTAGTGGGGGGAGCCTATGCCACCCACCTGACTGAACCAGTGAGACTAGAGCTAGTGGATCACTGGGAAATAATTCAATTCATAATAGCCCCAAAATGACAGATACGGTCATACTGGGACTCTCCTGGCTAGACAAGTGGGTGGCAAGGGGGTACCCACAGACTTAGGATGGAAAAGGGGCCCCAACCCCTTTCCACGCCAGCAAACGGAAACACCACCGAAGCAGGGAACCCCCCCCCAAAAGAGCCCAACAGAACATCTGGAAGCCACATCTGACAAAATCCCAGAGACCGAACAGATCCCAGGGGAAAATCAGGACCTTGCAGAAGTAATCAGCGAGACCAAGTGCAACATTCCGCCCCCTCCCCACCGTGAAGCAAATTGCACCATCAAAATCATCCCTGGGGCAAAACTACCCAAACCCAAACTGTATGCCATGACACCCCAGGAAATGCAAGAAATGTGCAAATACATAGACAAAAACCTAGCACGAGGTTCATCGAGCAAGCCACGGTTTGTGGCGCCAGTCCTCTTTAAAGAAAAAAAAGACAGAACTGTGAGACTGTGTGTGGACTTTAGAGGAATTATTGCAGTGTGAATACACAAAATATATCTACTCCCCCTCATGAAGGACATGCTATCTCACCTAGCCAAGGGAAAAGTCTTCACCAAACTAGACCTCAGAGAAGCATACTACCTAATACGAATCAGGGAAGTAGTTGAATGGAAAACAGCGTTCAACTGCCACCTAGGGAGCTTCCAATTCAAATTGATGCCTTTTGGACTGCAGAGAGCGCCAGCAGTGTTCATGCAGTTAATAAACAAGGTGCTGCACAAGCACCTCTACAAGTGGGTCCTCGTCTACCTGAATAACATCCGCATCTACACAGAGACCATGAATGACCACATTCCCCTGGTCTGACAGGTACTGGAAAAACTTCTGGCAGCCAACCTGTACACCAAGCTATCAAAAC